AAAGGCCTTACTATTTTAGATATTGCTAATCTCACCAGAGTTAGGGGGAATCTCTTGAGAATTCTTCTTTTTTAAAAAACAGAAACTCACACTGGATGACAGGCTGGGAGCAGAGTGATAAAGCAGGTAGTTGGAATGAGAGTGTCTCAGTCCATTTGAGCTGCTATGACATAATACCTTATGTAATTTATAAACAACAGAACTATATTGCTCACAGATCTGGAGGCTGGGAAATTCCAGATCAAGGTTCACTCTGTTTCACAGATGGCACCTTCTTACAGTGTGCTCAATTAGTAGAAGGGACAAACATGTTCCCTCAGACCTCTTTTATAAGGGGACTAATGCCCTAAGGGCTTCACCCTCATTACCTAATTCTTTCTTTTTTTTTTTTTAAAGAGAGAGGGAGAGAGAGAGAATTTTAATATTTACTTTTTAGTATTTGGCGGACACAACATCTTTCTTTGTATGTGGTGCTAAGGATCGAACCCGGGCCGCACGCATGCCAGGCGAGCACACTACCGCTTGAGCCACATCCCCAGCCCTACCTAATTATTTCTTAATGTCTCTACTTCCTAATTGTGTTGCATTGGGTTTAGGTTTTAGCATATGAATACTGGGGCACACAAACATTCATACCATAGCAAGAAAGTTAAATCACATATTTAAAAACTAATTGGTAGATGTAACAAATAATATATTTGTGCCCCCAAAGAACTGTAGATAATGGATTTGAATTATAGGATAGATAACTGTTACCTCTGTAATACTTTTTAAAAAAATTTTTTTTAGTTGTAGTTAGACACAATACCTTTATTTTATTTATTTTTATGGGTGCTGAGGATGGAACCCAGCACCTTGCAGTAGGGGAGCAACTGCAGCCATCCTACCTCTGTAATTCTTAAAAGAAATAAAGAATGCAGTCAGAAAGCTGCCCAGTCATCAAGAGATTATCAGAAAAGTGGATTAGAGGAAACAAAGGAACTTCTTAAAATGAAGATGTACACTTGCCATGTTAAAAAAGCAAGGTGATCAGCAGCTTAAACAGTTAAACATAGTGGATTAGAAAAATTCCT